TCAAACTTTTGTTAACTAATAAAATGTAGGTAATATTATGATAAACAGTTTATCAGTTGACCAACTTTTTATATCTTCCACAGAAATCGAGATAATTAAGCTCAAAGTGGACAGATAGAGGTTCCTTCTACTACAGGTTTTACGTCAAGTCATATTTTTTGAAGTCAAAATTTTGATTTAATTAGCTAGTTAATTACCTTCTCATTAAGCTCATTTAACGAAACATATCCTTTATGCGTTTTGACACTATACTCATTCAAATCTGGCTCCGATAATCCAACTCGATGATTGATATACACATATGGAGCATTTGTGCGCTCTTGATACTTTTCAATTCCACTGGATTTGAATCTGGAAATTCTGATTTTTAAAAACTTTACTGAACTTGTCTTCATGTCATTAATTTAGCTCTTTTTAAAGCTTTAATTTTTAAAGTATGACTACTAATTCATTTTTTTCAACGAAATTATCTATCGTAAGCTTGAGCTCAATTATCTCATTTCCTGTAAAAGATATCGATAAGTGGTCAACTGATAACATATTTATCATATTATCCCCAAAATTTTTGTAGTTGACAAATATTTGACATCTCTTACAGAAATTGAGATGATTAAGCTCAAAGATTAGTAAGGTGATACTTTATAAATTCCTTATAATAGGCTTTTCTAATATCGAAATATTGAAATACCGTAAACACTCTAATAGAACGCCACCCGATTAGTCAAATTTGAGGCCATGTATCTCATTTTCTGTGAGAGATATCAAAAAGTGGTTAACTGATAAAATGTTGTTGATATTATGATAAACATTTTGTTAGTTGACGAATGTTTGAAATCTCCCAAAAAAGGGAGATATATAAGCTCAAAGTGGACGGTCCGGGTGGCTTTCTATAAGAGTGATTACGGTATTGAAATATTAAATTAAAATTATTTTTTGAAATTCAAAACTCACACAGTAAATGAAATTACTAGTAAAAAAATAACGGCGAAAAGTGGGATAAATCTGACACAAGACGGTGATAAACGAGTGGCACTACCCAGTCGGAACATCTGAAAAATTTAGAATTTGTGAATCTAAAAAAATTTTAAAAATGTCAATAAAAGCAGGTTTAGCCTAATTCACTATAAAGATTTCAAATAATTGACTTGAAAATTTAAAAAATTAAATTTTCAAAAAAAAAACCGCGACTACAGTAAAAAGTGTCCAAAAATGTAAAATCAGCTC